ATTATGCAGGCCTTTGTCTTCTCAGGTGTGAATCACAGCATTATGCATGACCATACACGCCCCCTCGCATATACCTTTTCTACACAAAAAGTGTCTTCGAAAATTTTAATCAATATATTGTTTTCTGTGAATGAGTAAGATGATTGTCACATAATTCTGAAGCAAAAACTCTAGACTTCAAGATCAGTTCTCAAAAGTCTTGTGAACAAATGTTCTGTATGTGTTTTATGGCCTTATTTCAGTGACTTTAAAATTGTAGTTTTTCACTAAGCACGCATAAACGTTGTTTTCTCAAAAACACAATCACATACATACATGCTGCCCACATATTATTGTAGCCCAGTTTGTGCTGATTACAGTGTTATTAAACTTTAGACATTCAAATGTTTGTAAGCAACTGAAAAAAGCACAAATGTCAGGGCACGTCAAAACTTTTCCAGGCCCCAAAACACCCCCGGACCCCAGAGGATTAAGATGCCGTCAACAGACAACATACACGCCTACATATACTGATTTACCTGAACAAGTAGGCAATGACTGTAGACAAAGACAAATGTATAGTGTATATACACTAATGTAAATGTAAAAATGTATATACATTTTTGACACAAATGGAACCTCATAAGCAAACACTGCAAACTCAATAATAATCACAATCACTGCAAGTGAACAGGTGATAGACAATCAAGAGAAAAAAACTAAAATCAGACTCAGTCTGTGAAACTGGGAATGAAATGAAAGATATAAAACGACGAACAATGTAAAGACGTGTGTGGTACCTCAGAATAAAGATCCAGCAGTAACTGAAGTCAGTAGGACTGCTGTGATCTTGTCTGTTAGTTCAGTTCAAACATAATAAACATACAGAATAAACCAAACATTATCATCATCAGATCATACTTGAGCTTCACATCATAGAAATTGATGAATGAACTTCCACTGCTTCACGAGTCCATCATCTATTATCATGTTATTTCAATCTCAAGGTGTCAATAGAAATATCTACCGCCTGAATAGGGCTTTTGCGTTGATCTGAATCTCACAGTACAAGTGATACATGCATTATAAGACAATTGAACATAACATGAAACTCAATGATATCATTTATATCATGAAAACAAAATGATACAATAATAAAACTTTTGGACATTGTTCTTTGTGGAGGAACTCCATCTTGGAGTTGATCCGAATCTCACAGTTGAATCTGCTGCTTCTGAAGATGAACTTTATTCACTGTGAAAACTTTAGATAATGTTTCTTTGTCATGTCGCTTGTAATGACAGATTTATCCTGATATTTTACTGCTTGATGCATTATTGTGTCACATTTGGTGAAGACACGGCATCAGATCTGAAAGTGCTGGATCTGAAGATGATCTACTTACTGTGATTGTTTTTTGTATGCTTGTGAAAAGCAGATGAATGCCTGAAAGACTTCCCACATGCAGTGCAGTGATACGGTTTCTCTCCAGTGTGAATCCTCTCATGTATTTTCAGGTCTCCTGACTGACTGAATCTCTTGTCACAGTGTGAACACTTGTAAGGTTTTTCTCCAGTGTGAATCCTCTCATGCTGTTTCAAATGTTCAGCTCTTGTAAAAGTCTTCTCACACTCAAAGCACATGTAATCTCTCACAGCAGCATGTATTTTCTGATGTTCTTTCAAATATTGTAAACATGAAAAACTCTTTCCACACAAATAACATGAATGTGGCTTCTCCTTTGTATGAACTCTCAGGTGTTTCCTCAGATATGAAGCTCTCAAAAATGTTTTGCCGCATTGATCACATGTGTGTGGTTTCTCTCCAGTGTGGATCTTCATGTGATCCTTAAGGTTTGATGACTGAGTGAAGCTCTTCCCGCACTGATCACAAGTGAATGGTTTCTCTCCAGTATGAATTCTCATGTGAACATCACGATGTTGTTTGCTTGTAAAACTCTTTCCACACTGAGTGCAGGTGAATGGTTTCTCTCCAGTATGAATTCTCATGTGAACATCACGATGTTGTTTGCTTGTAAAACTCTTTCCACACTGAGTGCAGGTGAATGGTTTCTCTCCAGTATGAATTCTCATGTGAACATCACGATGTTGTTTGCTTGTAAAACTCTTTCCACACTGAGTGCAGGTGAATGGTTTCTCTCCAGTATGAATTCTCATGTGAACATCACGATGTTGTTTGCTTGTAAAACTCTTTCCACACTGAGAGCAGGTGAAAGATTTCTTGGCTCTTCTGTTCTTTAAATCCTGTTTGGTTTGAGAGCAACTCAAAGGTTGTTCTCCAGTTTTGACATGATTTTTCTCCTCAGCTTCACTCAGTTCTTCATTTAACTCTGAAATGAAAGTAAAAATGGTTTATTTTCAGTTAATTGTGAAAGAGACAAAAATGAACTTTTTTTAAAGGCATTTTTAGAAATGATGTCTCTCTGAAATTGTAACTATTTGTAAGTATTATAGACACAAATCTCATGTTTCTACAGGGAGAACTATTAAAAATGTTTGATCAACAACAACATTTTCTAATATACATTTAGTTAAAGTACCCATATCATAGAAAGTGTCTCTTATTATATGATGCTTCCTCTAGATTATTCAACAGCTCTAAAGATTTTTCCTGTTACAACAAAACTAATACTGTTTGAAGCTTTATAACATTCAGCCTCATTAATGAAGAATAAACACCAACCTGTTAGTTCTTCAGTATCTTCAGTGTGTTTGATTCTGCAGGGCTCTGGATCGCTCATCTTCTCTCTGTCCTCTTTAATAAACTCAGTCTGAGCTTCACTGATGATGTGTTGCAGTGGGCGGAGCTTCGCGACCAGTGAACATGTGGGAGGAGGAGCTTATCTGCCAAAATAAAAAAATACATCACCGAGTTAGTTTTTAATAGTAATAGACAGCAGAAAATAAATGTCATGTAAATTTAAGTATTATAAAGAAAACAGTTGAAAGCATAAACTCAGATATAAATGTACTTCACTGATGATGTGTTGCAGTGGGCGGAGCTTCACTACCAGTGAACATGTGGGAGGAGCTTATCTGCCAAAATCAAAAAATACATCACCGAGTTAGTTTTTATAGTAATAGACAGCAGAAAATAAATGTCATGTAAATTTAAGTATAAAGAAAACAGTTGAAAGCATAAACTCAGATATAAATGTACAGGCGAACTGCACAGTTTGCAGAGAAGCATTTCATTTGCTTAGCTTTTCAGAGCTTGGTAGATGAGTAACTATTGTATTTGTATTATTAGACAGATAAATAGAGATATTACAATTAACGTTATATTAACTGATTTATCGTTTATAAATATTAATACTATATAGGCATAATAAATGATCATATCTGTCATACATAATGTACGGCATTAAAAAGTTTTAAAAGTGTGAAATTATTTAAATAAAAATGGAACAAGTAATCACACAATTATGTGAATCATAATTCAAGCAGTAAATAAGCTAAAAATGCATCCCATCCTGCAGAATTGTCAAAAACGTGATAACTGTCAGAATGACTGATTTAGGCGCGCCAACTGAAGAGTTGTTTAGAAGTAAATAAAATAATCAAATGTAAAATAATAATAATAATGTGTTCTGCTGCAAGTTCTCATGCTTGATCTCAGGTGTTCTCCTGGTTTATTGTTGAGCTGTTGAATTGTTCTGTTAAAATAATCAGTTCCAAGCCTTTGACACTGTTTTAGCTGTAAGTGTCCATTCACAGGAGATCTGAAGACATCAGCATAATACATGAGGAGAAAACAGGAGCTACTGACATGAAATAAAGATCTTTTCAGCAGCTCTGTTAATATTGATGAGCCTCAGACGATCAACACTCATTCAGATCATCAGCAGATCATCTCTCTCAGATGATTTGCTGATAGAAACACATTTGCTGATATTCTCAGCGTTTGCTGATAGAAACACATTATCCGAGTCAGGATATATGACAAAAGTATATTTCTCACAATATGTATAAAACATAATACAAAAACAAACACTAAAGTAACCTGCTGTAAAGCCCCACAATATAAGCATGTCTAATCTAAATAGTTTGATTTTCTAATAACTATTCATTGCAGTTAAGTAACTAGATCATTAACATGTTAAAGTTTTGTACAGAAACTAACAATGAGCATAAAACATCTTCAAATAAGGGCACCACAAAGCAATATTGAATGATTTCAGTGTCACATTTGATTCATATTTCGCTATATTCACATTTATGTATGGATGTCTCGCGCGGCTCATTATAGGCTCAATGTAACGCTAGCAGTCTCTGTTTCAGTATATTTGAACAAACTAACGGGTTTAATCTGCCAAAGATGCCAAAAGTGTAGAAATAAAACAGCAGCAGCAACACTTGAGATCCATTCCCCTCACAGATCAATGTTTAACTTGACATTCAGCAGCAGTTCTCACTACAAACATAGAAACAATCGCACGAACTCATAAAAGCTCACAAACTCGTCTGATTTAATTCCTCATATTTTCCTCACAAGCTGCTGCTGCTGCACTCAATGTTTATTTCAGCAGAAAGACGCACAAGTAGCGCTGAACCCGATGAAAACAACAGACATGAGACTGTCAAATGTCGCTTACACAAACTGTATAAAGTGTGTTTGGTAGTTGTGTAAATATGAGAAATACCGCGAGCTGCTGAACTCTCCTCAGAAGCCTCTGCTCAGCGCGCTGAAACTGATCTTCTTCTAATAACGTTTTATGGCGGATGGCAAACCAACTTCTGGTGCATTTACCGCCACCATCTGGACTGGAGTGCGGAGCACTAATAAGCAACTAATATATACATATTTATTTATACACACACACACACACACACACACACACACACACACACACACACTCACACACACACACATATATATATATATATATATATATATATAAAA